TTGTAATTTACTTTCGGTGCAGGCTTGACAAAATAGTATATATTGTGTGGCAAGGGCGGGAAGTGAGCTATTTCAGGACCGCATTTCGCCCAAGACTGAAAATGCCTTTCCGCATGAGCCACACATACTATTTTTTGTCACGCCTCTGCGTTCATCGATCATCATGGCAAAGACAATGCAGGTATCTATGCAACAACTGGACCATAATTCTACAACAACAATATTTCATAAAAGAAACGATTTGTTTTATTTATTTTAAGCTTCACGCATGGATGTTATAATATAAGATGTAACCATACGGCATACGAGCGTGATATGTGCGACCAGCACTTTTGGGGATTTCCACTTTACCTCCCGGCACTTGTAGGGATTCCTACTTTCATAGCCGTCCCAAGGGGGGGGCAAATGGGGCAAGTGCCCTAGGGCGTCAAAAGTATTATGAACTTAGGGGGCGTCATAAAATGAATAATAAAAAGACAATTTGGTGTTTTTATTTTAGATATTAATTTTCTTTTTATATTGTAATATCGAAGATAAGTACCTATCAAATATTCTATATTATATTATATGCCTTCAATAATATATAAATATTATCTGTTTACACTGGACTGTCCGACCGTGATTGACTGTGTATCATGATTAATAGTGTTAATAATATTAGTTTATTACCCAAAGATATGATATTATGTATACTGTATAGGTATTAATATCACTATATAGTTATCATTGATTAATGATTATACTAGTATTCAATAATAAACTCATTATCAATTTTACCCACTTCTAAAAATAAATCGGGTTACAGTGGTTCGACTGAATTCTGTAAATAAACATCGCTTATTCACTTGTACAAATGTAGAATCTATAATGTTGACTGTAGTTGTAGTGCTGTCTGTTGAGTGTTGTACACGCCACGCACAGCAGCGCAGAACTTATGATTTAGGCCTAGTTATTAACATTATACATCCGTGACGTAATTATCATAAATCATAATATTAGTAACGTTTTAGTAATTAATATTTTACGTTACCTATTAGTTTTGTGTTTTATTATACTTACAAATGGCCAAAAAAAGAACGATCTTTTTTATGACCCAAATAAGTTTTATACACAATATTCAAATATTGGAAATATTGTAAAATATTATATCTACCTGTTATAAAGTTATTAAAACATTTAAAATTATTAAAATTAATTATTTGTTCTTATAAATATAAAAGGTGTAAAGTACTTTGAATATTTATGTTAATATATAATAAATAACTCATAATTATATGTACTTTATGAATAAAAAGATTTTTTATAATTTGGATATACTGTTATGTGTAAATAGTGATAATATATTTCTTTCTATAATGTACTCAGAATAATGAAATCAGTGTCAACTTCAAAAAATCATAAAAACAAATTAAATTAATTTATATAAATAAGATTACAATAATAATAATAAAAAATAAGCAGGAACCTTTAATGAATAATATATTTAAGGGAAGAGGTTAATTCAAAATATGAAGTCAATATTTTTTTGTGGGAGGGGGAGGGCCCCGGAGGGGCGTCAAATATTGTTGCCCTAGGGCGTTAATGGTGGTTAGGACGGCACTGCCTACTTTACCACCCACTGGACTGAAAAAGGACGCTTTCAACGCTTCAACCTCTATCGAAAACTAAACTTTCGGTGCAGGTGTGAGTGTGTGACAAACAAGTTATTAACAATAATATATGATATAAAATTATGAAAAATTAATTCACCTGGTTTAATATTATATTATTCTTATATTTTCCTCTATTTTTATTTAGGTTTATATTTTGTAACAAGTTATAATTAAAAACAAATATTTAATATTCATAATACCTATATATGAATACTAAAACATAATATAGGTATCTTTGGATCTTCCTTTAAACTATTATGTAATTTGTAGGTATGTAGGACGTAGGTATATTATAAAAGGTGTACAGAATAAAGAGCTAAAATAAATTAACGAAATATAACACATATTTTTTTGAAAATTAAATTTTTTATTATAACTATTAATTAACATCTCCGATTTTGTAGGCATGAAAAATAACACTCGGCATAATAATTTATTAATAGGTACCTATGTAGTATTGTGGTCTCTCAAGGCGGCACTGCATTGAATTATCGACCGGTCTTATAAGTTTTAGATGACTCGCTCACAAACTTCCGGTTAGAGTTGTACAAGTATAATATAATTATTACTAGGATAACCATTCGAAACAAAAATATTGTGTTATTAAACAGAAAAAATCTATTACAGAAAAGTTTTCATATTTAAAAAACCAATTTTTATCGAAGTCATTGTTTTTTATGTAGGTACCTTTAGTAGGTAACCTTGTACTTACCTATCATTGTCCATTGACTATGATACGGAAATATGAAACCATCGCTTTATTTACCTATGTCCTATACATAATTACGCATTATTACAATTTTGAATACATATATAGTCTTAATAGTAAATATGTATTTATGTAATTATTATAAATATAAAATGATAATTCCATATAGCCAACGACCCAAAGAAAACAAAAACACCGATTGATTTTTTAAATAAGAAGAATTTTCTGAAATAAATTAGGGGTTTCGCTGTTTTATGATGCAATATTTTTGTTTCGAATGGTTGGTGGTAATTATTGTACAACTCTTTACGCTGATGTCTTACGTCAGAAATCTGAAATCATTATATTATTATATTTATTAGGTAGGTACTATTTGGCTAGTAGCAAGTAGAAATGAATAGGTACTTTACGGTGTAATGTGATTAAATAGTCCAATCGCTCTTCATAAGGCAACGTTCTTGACCGCAAATAACATCGTTTTAGTTGGTTTATAGTCCAAAAATACCTATTTTTCGTATCTTCTATTGTGTATTTTGATTTTAACTGTTTACTGGATTTCGACGGATTACAGCGTAATTCATTCAAACGCATCAATAAAAGAAGCACGAGAATAATGTACATGATTTTGAAATATAAGTAATATAACAACTTATGTCATAAATTCTTTTAAAATATAAATTTATTTACTTAGTTATTCGAGGTAGGTACCTAGTACTTATAGATACCTATTTCTGTGTATATTTTGTTTGGTTGTCCAGACTACTAAAAATGTTTTATTATTAATAATATAAAACAAGATTTAATCAGGACATATTATTCAGGTCAGATGGTACCTAGGCACTCTTTCAGTATATTAATACATTAATCTTATAAATATATATAATATATTATATTAGGCTCCTATAATATATTTTATTATATACAGTAAATCTGAATCTTCAATCTTGTATAGTAAAAACTAAAAATATAAAATGCTAAGGTAGGTAATCAGTTATTGTTGTTCTACATTTCAGAAATAATTAATAAATTACATTTTCAAAATATTATCATCTTTGATTAAGCTAAAATATTATTATATAGTTGGACCTCCTCCATGAAAATTTCCAAAATAAACCACTGACGTAGCCTTGTGATGTATCTGTCCAGGGCGGACTGGGCTGGTCTCTACAGTTTGCCAAACACTCATCAGACTTTCCACTTTTCATATTTATTGGTTGTACACATATAATAGATATTATATAGATGCCTATGGGCTATGGCCTATGTCTCGTATAATGGTAAAATAGTTTACATCCTATCCTAAGATCAACATTATATACTAATACATTATACAAATGATAATTTCAGAACCGGTGTAATGTTATAAGTAACAATTTTCTTTGAAAATAAACAAATTCAACAAATTACTGAAATTATAAAAAATATTTTACATTTTTAATTACCCTGAATTTCTTGTAAATAACTAGAAATTAGAAACCTATTAACTATTATGAAGTATATTAAGTGCTATTTGATTGTTTTTTTAATGTTATGTATCATGTATGTGTATGTTTTTCACTGTATATCTGAGTGTAATGTGTAAACAACTTACTATCAATGCATTGATATTTGATGTACAAATTTGACTATGAAAATAGTATATATTTTATTACTTTTTTTTTAATAATAAATCATTACAATATTGTTAATGACAAAAATAAATAATAATTAAATTTAAAGATAATAAGTGGTTTTTTTAAAAAAATATTTAAAACATAACTTGCTCGATCAGTTACATTCCAGTATTCGACCGCCTCATTTTTAACTGTCTCATACTATCACCACAAAGGGAAAAATTGTTCTTTTTTATACATTCAATATTATACTGTAGTATATTAAAATATATTTTGTACACAATAAAAATGTATTATATTGAATATTCCTATTTTATTTTACCATAAATTAACCATATTTAACCAAATATTATTGTTTTAATAATTAAATATTAAAAATATTTTCTAAGAGAGTTGTTAAAACATTTTTAATTATATCAACAGATAATTTTTATGGAAATAAATTGACTAAACATGTAGTTGATATGTATTGTTGGTTTTTTTTTTTTAGAACTATCTGCACATGTTTTCTGTAAGTGAGTAAGTAACTTACTAAATAATTACTTTTTTGATTGAATTGGTCTATCTAGACTTTAGTACAGTTAATTATGATCGGCTTTATAACATAACCATTGTAATTGAAAAAATATTGAATTTAATTAACTAGGAAGTTGTCGTTTATTGTAAAATTAAATGTAAAAACAAATATTTTAACGGAACATTAAATATAATATAGTTCGAACCAATGGTAATATTTTTTGGTCATTAATCTTGTATCATTCATATCAGTGTTATCGACATTCAATCTTCAGATTAGCTTTTATTAAATATGTTATACAAATTAATGTTTTAAATTATAAATAAAAATTGTAATAAAAAAAAAAGTATATACATTTTAATCAATAATATTGCTTTCTGAAATTATTAATAATTTACAAAAATACAATTATTGATAAAAACAAAATTTTTGAAGTTTGTAATGTTTAATGACAAAATTATTATACAATCTAAATATTCCTTAATATATGATCATTAGTAAATCATTTTTTATCCAGATATTTTTACAAAATCTACATTTATAGTTTTCCCAATATTGTTAAGACGTTCAACTTTACCGTGTTTTGAATTCAACTGGTGTTTGATCATTTGACTTTTCAGTACTAAAATGTGCATATATCTACTGTATTGTTGAGCCATTGACATAGCTTTCTCAAATGTTTCTACTCTTTGATTTGGATGCTTAGCGTAAAGGATCTAGAATACAAAATTACAATAAGTAAAATAATAATAGCATATATTTATGAAGTAATATCTAAATAAATATCCGATAATTTCTGCTAAAATAATTTTATCCAAAAATATATTTATGAAAAAGATACAGCCAAAAATAATGTCTCTGAAACATATATTATTCTAAAAGTAAACTATCAAATAAAATATTAAAAGATATTTTACATTCCCCAGTACATTTTTTATTGAGAAAAACAAATTTATGAAATACCACTTAATTTTTTTGATAAAATCTTTTGGAATTCAAAAACAAGCAACCAATACTTGAAATTATACCAAATATTTAAAGTTGTTTGAGATTTTTAATTTTTTTTACTATATTGATAAAAAATGGTATGGTATGGTTGTTTTCATAAAGCTTGGAAACATAATACAAGATTCTTCATTAGAGCATTCAGAAAATAAGGAGTCTAATACACTATCTAAGCTCAGAATTATTGTTATTTGTTTGTATGTTACATTTGCTGTACACTCCAGGGGGCTGCGACTGTGTTCATAATTTAAAAAAGTGAAAAAGTGACTTTTTTTCTTGAAAAAAGTGACCAAAATCATCGATTTAGTTTAAAAATATTTATTGAGGTATAACAAATAATACAAATTTAACATATTATTTTTAGGATAATATTAATAATACTTAAACAACAAATAAAATACTCAGCCTCAAATTAAAATAAAAACATTTTTAACTTTGTCACTAACCTTTGAATGGGTAATACTTTTATACATTCAAATTAAACAGTAAACAATAAAAATTAATTTTTTGATTTTTAAAAATAAATTGAAATATCAGATTAGATTTTCTTTTTTCAATCTTTGTTTGCAGTGATTTAGTCTGAATACTTCTTTTTCGTTCATCATCACAGAGTTTTTTTTAGGTTAAGATCTTGTGTAGGTAAAAAAAGTGAGAAAGGTGACAATTTTACGGAAATAGTGACAAAAAGGGACATGATCTTAGAAAAGTGACTGAGTGGCAGCCCTGCACTCAAAATCTAATTTACAGCTGAACGACTTCCAAGGCTTTAATTAAGAGGATGCTATCCATGCATTTGTTGTCTGCGTCTTACAAACGTACGACATAGCAAATTTTAGTTCACTAGTTTTGATTATGTGTAGTTAATTTTGATATTAGTGTGAATTTAGTTATTATTAAACTTTTAGGTAAGAAAATTATCTGTGCTTAATCATTAGATTATAATTTTCAAGCAAAATATGAGCATTTTTATTTTGTGATACTTCAAATACCCATATCTTGCATGACAATTAAAATATCGAAAAACTCTTTAATGCTAAGAGCATAAATAACGCTCATTTTGTATCCAACATTTTGATAATAGGTCAAAATTCACTTTAATATCAAAACAACAGCACACAATTGAAACTAGTGAATGGACATTTTCTATGTTTGTAAGACAGAAACCACAAATGCATGGATAGCGTCATCTTAAGTATAAGCCGGTTTTTTTTTTAGTATAAAAATTTAAAAGTCAAGTACAATGAGACTTACTTTATTAATGGAGTCAATACGAGCCTTGATGTGACCATCCAAAATTAGTTGCATAAGTTCATTCTCTAAATCAGGCAAAGGAGTATTGAAACATAATGCCATTTTTCTTAAGTCAGCAGAGTCGTATGGACTAAATAATTACAAATTTGATTATTATTAAAACTATTATTTAAATGTTGTTAAAAATTTAGCTTACCAGAAATATTGAATCATTGCTTTGCTTCTTATATTAGAGTAGAGCTGGTTTATATGAGATCCAATGTACATATCAAGAAGTAAAATTGGCTAAAATGAAATATATTAAGGAGTCTTATAGTTATTAAAATCATTTATAACAAACAATATGAAAGGAATATACAAATAAATATTAAGTACTTTTATTTTGTTCAAAATTGTTAAACAGACTTCATATTTGGACTCATAAAACTTGAAAATCGCATCACGTACTTCAGGTTCCAGTTCAAGGAATAATTTGAATGAGCTAAAAATAAGTTAGTTATAAACATGGTGATTAATAGTGATTGCTGTTAAAAGTAAATAATAATACTGTAAATAAAATACTATTACTAATATTTTAGCTTTTGGAGTGGAATATGAAATTATGACAGACCAAAATGTTAAAAAATAATGTTTAAATATTAATATTGATACAGACATATTATACAGTAAATACTAGATTACTATACTAATGTTAGCACATTATAAGTACCTAATCAAATAATAAACATTTTTTTTATATTTTATATTTTAATATTTTATTTTATAATATTTTACAGTTATAGTAGTTGAGTATATTTGTTGTTTAGTATGAATAAGTATAATATTATCAAAGGCACAACCAGGGGGGGTTTAGGGGTTGTACCCCCCAAAATTTCTCCGAGGCCTAGTATATTTTAGCTTATGTATATATATATATATATAGTAAAAATGTAACATTGTAACCAATCAATAAAATAATACGAATCTATTCAAATTAACGAGTAATGGATGAGTTTGATATTGGAAAAAGTTTAGCCAATAGTGAGAGACAGTTCCAAACAGTGCATTTTCTCCGTGGCATAAACATTTCGCTTTAGGTTAGGTTAGCTTTGTTCTTTAAATAAAGAAAGTACTAACATAGTAATTAGTTTCTTCAATAATTCAGTAAGTGATAAAACTTGTCATATAATTTAACTACAATACTAACATGTATTAAAATATATACAAAGTTAATTTTATGACATATGATATTAAATAGTGTTTGTGTGTGTCATATAATATTTTTTATTTTAGTATTGATTTAATTTAAAATTCTGTGTCCCATATTAATTTTAGTGAATGTATATAAATTATAAGTATAATATTAACAAACCTATAGATTTATACATACTGAAAAACTTACTTGTTGCAAATTACGTTATTTTGAAGTTCTAAACGGTTAAAAGTAGCTAATGCACAAAGTCCTCCATAAATAGCAATATCATTAGGTGTCATTACGTCACAAGAATCCCAATAATCAAGATTGGTTTTCAAGAAATTTTGAGCAGCTAATTTGTATTTACGACCCGCAAGTTCAGCTAAGCCTGTCATGCATTTAAGTGTAGAACTGTATGTGGTCTGGAGTTCAGAATTCTAAAAAAATCAAATACAAATTATTAATACTATTGTATATATTATAAAATATTAATGATTTAAGCTATTATTACTTCCATATAGTCCGGAGTAGATTCAGCTTTAATTATGTAATTGATAACATGTGACCAATTTTGCAGATAAATTCCTACCTGGTAATAAACATAGTATTTTTATTATCAAAAATAAATATTTAAATTAATAAGACATGAATTAATTACAAATATATTTTATTTTATAAAAAAATAACTAATGAGTAAACTGTACATTGAAATAAGTCACTAAAATTTCCTAAAACTAAAAAAATATAGAAGGTACTAACAACTAAAGCATCAATTATATTATGTTTATAATCTTTCTATCTGACCTAAATGCAGCAATTTTAAGTAGATAATGTCAAAAATGAAATATGTACAACACGCAATGAGCACCACACATAATTTAAGAGGGTTGCAGCAAACATATTTTCATACGTTTTACAATAATAAGCAATGGTAAATTACCCATACTTCGGAACGTTCGATTTTAATTTTTTATACATGTATGAACTTTTTGACAAAATATCTAGGCTTTATAGGAAGTTGATTTTCAATTTTGAAAGACCTCGAAATAAGATTTTTTTTTTTTAAATTCCATGAAATAATTGCTTTACATTTGCATTTAGCCTGTAGGCATATCTGATTTTAAATCAAAAAAGTGATTCCTAAAAATTATAGTCTAAGTCTAGAAGCTTATAAATTCAACCATTTTTGAAGAATGTTTAATTTTCTACCGCTTTTAGTAGTTTTTATAATACCTAATGCAAACAAAAATATTTTCATTTATCTCAAAGTATGAGTTGCATCCGGTTGCCTGACAGCGTATTACATCAATTCTTGGAAACACATACTAATGTTAATTTACTACTCACACATAGACATAGCCCAAATGTTTATGTCATGTGAATTGCCTTAATATTACTCCTTAAAACTTGATATGCTGGAACCCTCTTAATGTACAAAATTTTAGTTAACCCTAGAGCACATGCTTCACGGTCAAAAATACTGGACATTTAGAAGTTTGTTCATGGTTTCAAGAATTCAAAATATTTACGTAATTTAATCTAAGTACCTTTTAATTAGGTGATAAACTAAAATTAAATACGACTCCCAACTGTATATGATCTGATGTCAGTAATATAGAAGTATTCTAAGTTCATTACCCATTAAAAATACTTTGTGGTAGACTAACATTTAAAAATAATTTAATTTTATGAAAACTTAATTATGGGTTATTTTTAAATTGTGTTCCCTAAGAATTGCTGAACGATAAAACAATATTGATTGTAATAATAATAATTCATTGAGTTTTAATTAAAATATTTTAAATGTATATAATGTAGGGTTAAGAAATATTATATAAATAATATAATCTCATACTGGATTGATACATACTTTTATTATGTTAAGACACATTGATATGACATGAGAGGAACTAGTACAATAATCTCGAGCCTTGGAATAACTTTTAGTTGCTTCAATGAGGTCTCCACAATTGACATAATGGTCACCAATTTCATTATGACCACGACGAATGCTTTCCTTAATCGAATTACTTTTATAGTTCTTAAGATCTCCATCTAGCTTTTCAAGTTTCATTGCTGATTTTTGAGTTGTAGTTTCTACCCAAACAGCATTGAACACTGGAAGTCCTGTATCTACCGGATTAGCTCCAGTGACATCGGGTAATATAATTCTAACGCAAAAAAAAATTAAATAAATTATATTTATAAACTAAGTTATAGTTTAAAAAAAAAATAATACCCATGGCATTGTTGAAGTTTATGATGTAGCACTTGATACAGATTAGCATTCATTGTAGTAATAACATGTGAAATGGCCAGACGTAATGCGTCGGATCGCAATCTTGGACAATGGTCAGCTATATACATAAGCCTGTAAATGCGAGCTAATCCAATGTAACTATTGGCATATGTGTCAAGATCCTAAAGTCCATAATAATAATAATAGTAATAGAGCTTAATAACGGTGGTCATTAGTAAAAAAGCACATTAGTCCTTACAAATGAATCAATGTCCACTTCATACAATTCTTCTTCGTTGTTGTCATTTTCCTCAGGAGGTGCATCAACTTGCATCGGATCTATGGCTCCAGCTTGGGCATTTCGTAAGGAGCGCTGAAATATAATGATAAATTATCGTAGGGTTACTTACATCGTTATTGTCAAAGAACGAAAAATGTACGTACGTTCAGTGATCTCAATGAAGCCATTTTCTGTATAATATAATTCGTTTTAATGTATTATGTCAACGGTTACTGAATGCCGTTCTGGTATCTACCACTATGTGGTAACGAATAGTTATTTGTCTTTGTGAGTTAGTTATCCCCTACAACAATGTAATCGCATCGAAGTTGTTAAGTTTGAAGATCGATATAGTTCGGTCAACACTCGAAAAAACAATATTATTTATTTGTAATTCCCACGGTTTAGTGCTTAATAAAAAAAAAAGTAGTGAATAATTGTGAAATGTGAATATTGTGATTAGTGGTCACTGTGAGCCGTGAGGGTGAGGTATTGGCGTATGCCGTATTGCCGTATTGTTATATTGCGGACTGCAGTGATAATGACGAAATCGAGATAAGGATAGTTTTTTTTTTATGATAACTGTAACCACGGTTGAAGTATAACCGCATTGTTATATTCTGTGGTATAACCACGGACAAAGCCGCATATTATTTTCTAATTTCTATATTAATTAAGTAATATTATATTATGTACACGGATGGCACGATTAAACGGCCACATTCTGCGGTGCGTACTCATGTGTATATTTCAATAAATATTATTTTTATTTTTGTGTAAATAATTAAATTATACTATCTGTTAACACTGTATCTAGTTATTGTTTATATACCTATACCTAATACCTATATCCACGGTCTTAGAAGATAAGGTCTGACCACTTCCCCCTGCCAACCATCATGAAATGTTCCGCTTATTTGAGCGAAAACATTTAAAATTTTCACCACAATATTAATGAGCGCTGCTGGTTAGACGTTTTTGAGGTTATGAATTATTGTAGTAAAGGTTTATCAAATTAGTAATTACCGCCATTTAAACATTAATTATTGGGATTTAAATGGGATAATGCATTTGATTATTTGAACAACGTAATATTATTTTTATAACTATTATGCATTAATACACTATTTACTACTATACAAATTTGATAATATAGATGTTAAATATTAATATATTATACATATTAATTAATAATCGTTGTTTTTAAAATAAACTTCATTTGTACAACATAAAGTGCATTTTTATTTTATAATCCTGATTAATCGTCCTATCCTTTTGTTTTTTATGTTATTATATAATAAAAATTATACTAACAATGCCTAATAAAATTTGTTGGTTTGGCTGTAACAAAACTAGAAAACTATCGGTATTTGTAACACCAAAAGATCAAAGTTTAAAGAAAGAATGGTTGAATGCTTTAAATATTGATCACTTGGACACAAATGATGTTATTTGTGAACTACATTTTCCAGTTGATGCCATTAAAAAACAAAATTATATAGTGGATAAAGTAGGAAATATTGTATGCTCGGTAAGTAAAATAACAAAATGTACTAAACAGATTAATTCCACAAGAAAATCAATCAATATTTCTTTTTCACATTATTTAATCTCTTAAATTACCCATCAATTTGCCTTAAAAATGTAAAATACACTGTTTATGTAATTATAACATTACATTAATTAATTAAATATTTAGACTACATTAGTAAGGCCTCGTTTGAAACCAAATGCAGTACCATTTTCAGCTCGCAAACGATTGAAGTTTTCTGAGAATAAGGTAAAATCACAATATAATATAATAGGTATAGTATAAAAGTATTTTTATTCTTTACCAATTTTAATAATAGGTGGAAGATTTAATTCAACCATGCAATGCATTAGACACTAGTAGTTCTACCACTAATAGAACAACTTTTACATGTGGCGGTGATGAAGAAGTACATTTTTATTTTTTAATAATATAATAATTAGTATTAATTTATCAATAAATGAAAATACAAAATAATTATTTTAAAAATTATACTATTTTATTAAATACTAAACATGTGAACATATTTCCATTTGTTCATCAAATAATTTTATAATTTCTACACTATATATTAACTTAATGTAGTCTTAATTTTTTCTAAGTTATTTAGTTATTTAAATTGTACCCAAAATATCTAACACAATTTTTTCAATTAACTTTTAGGAATTAATTTGTAAACCAACAATTAATATTGAACTTCTGCCTAATGATCTTATGTCGAGTTCAAGAGTTATGCTAGAACATAACTATTCTACTAGTTTTGATGACAATACTTCTTTAATGGGCTGCAGCACTTCTGATTTTAACATTCCTGTACATAAAAAAGTAAACAAGAAACTGATGGTTAAAATATTTATAAAGACATACTTAATGTATCATCTTATTTATAGAATAAATTGAATCAAACATCTAAACTACAATTTGATACTGCTAGCATTTTGTTTGACAAACTAAATACATGGGACCTAAACTTGCCATCACATTGGCAAAAGTATTTATCGATAGATAAAAAGTTTTTTGGTGTGTCTGAAATTGTTTTTGCACAAAAACAGAATAATTTAAATTCATTTATGCGAAAAACAATTATTGTTAATCAAAACTTAGAACTCACTTGCAATATTTTGGGCAAAAATATAAGCAGAGATAAGTTTACAAATTCCTTCCATAAACTTGAAAGTCGTCAGCATTTAATAGATTTAATTAATGAAATAGCGACCATGAAAATCTGTAGAGGCGTGGATTTGTTATATGAAAAAAAGTAAAATTTTATTTAAAGGTTTCAATTTATTTTGATTATATAATATATATATATATATATGTTGTAGATATGATTCCATGTTTTCAAGAAATAACAGTTTGACTGTTGATACTATGCTAACAAAAGGTCATTTAAACTGTCCTATAACTATTATAAATTCTTACCATTGTTCATTTTGCACAAAAGCAAAAAAATCTATAAACCGACAGAGAGCACAAAGATTTTCAATATCTCATCCAAAACGTATAATAATAAAAACAACCCCAAAAAGCAAAAAAAGTCTTAAAATTTTGCGAAAAAACAACGAACTTCAAAGAAAACAAAAAAATCGTTTTAAAAATAAAATTGACATAATGAGAAAGAATATGGATGAGTTACAGGAAAAATTAAAAAGTACAACTCAATATAGTATTGAGCAAAAAATGAATGATATTAACTGTCCAGAATATCAAAAAACAATTATAAAAGAAATATTTGGAGCAGCAAAGGTAATATATTTAAATTATTATACCAAGTAGATAATAAAATTAATTAAATGCCAATTCAATTTAAATTAGGTTAGTAATTCAAAAGGCAGAAGGTATTCTGATGAATGGATAATGCTGTGCATGTTGTTGCACATAAGATCACCAAGTGGTTATAATTTTTTAAATAAAAATAATATATTGCCATTACCAAGTATTAGCTCTATAAGGCGATATCTAGGATCAATAAATATGACTTGTGGTTTTGATTCAAATTTTTTTGCCTTGTTAAAAAAATATTTGGAGAATAAAACTGAGTTTCAAAAGCATGGCATTCTCTTAGTTGATGAAATATCAGTGAGAGAAGCAATCACTGTATGTTCTAAAAGCTTGACATATAGAGGCCTGGTAGATCACGGAGAAGACTACAAAGCAACAGACATCAATGAGAAGGCAACTAGTGGTTTAGTTTTTATGTTTCAGCCACTTGCCGATAGTTATTCACAACCAGTGGCTGTTTTTGCCTCTAGAGGTCCTGTAGTTGGAACTGAATTGGCTAAACTCATAATCAAGTGCATAATTCTCTTAGAACAGTCAGGTGCCCTTATTCACGGTATAGTGTCTGATGGAGCTCAGACAAATAGAAAGATGTGGACTGAATTAGGTGTCAATGGCCATATTGATTCTTTTCAAAATTGGTTTCATCATCCACTTGACGATGATAGAAAAATATATGCCTTTTCAGATACACCACACCTAATAAAAAACGTCAGGAATAAATTATGCAATGATAAAACACTCAATGCAAGTTTGTAATTAGTTAAATGTTAATGTGTTTGTGAATCAAAATATTTCATGTGTTGTGTTTGTGAATCAAAATATTTCATGTGTTGTGTTTAGCATCTATTATTTTTCAATATAGGAAAAAAAATCTGTATGTATACTAATATTTTGAATTTGCTTTATGGTAAACCTAAACGTCATGTAGTGCTATAATTTCTAATTTGAATGTGTTGTGTTAGGTATTAGATGGTATATTGTAGTTTTCAAAATGTGTTAAATTATTCTGAACAAAATAAAGAAAACACAACATTTTTAACTTGCCTATTTAATTGTGTATAATATAGATTCATGGTCAATATATTCAATGGCAACACATCAAACGTTTATATGAAGAGGATATAAAATTGACAGGAAATTTGAGAGTGTGCCCAAAGTTATCCAAAAATCACATTCAACTTAGTGTTTCTGATAAAATGAGGGTTCGCTTGGCCACTCAAGTATGATATTTAATATTTATCTACAAATAAATATAATAATTTAAAATACGAAGAAATAATACAAGCATATTATATTTAAATTTAAATTTAACTTATTACTTAATTTTATTTAGGTCTTGAGTAATTCAGTGGCTAATGGACTATTATTTTATAAAAACTATAACATTGCTGGATTTGAAGACTGTGAACCAACTGCCATGTTTTGTCGTAAATTTAATGATTGCTTTGATGCTCTTAATAGAAAATTTGGTGCTGAAGGACTCAGAGTGGATGGCAAAGATTACCAGGTAAATTTATAACTTATATACCTATTAATATATTATATATTAGAATGGTTTTATAAATACTAAATTTACAAAAACTAAATAGCAAAAAAATTATTGTTGGTAATTATCACTGAAAAAAAAAATTAAGTTTAGCATGATGTTCTTATTATTGTTTATTTATTTATAATCGGTTTCATTTTTAAAAAATTTTTATTTTATTTTTACTATAATTTATTTATTTTTGAACTTACAGTTTCTTCAATCATTTTTAATTTGGATGAATGATTGGGAAAAACAATATGATGATGGCCACATAAAAAAATCTGAATTCCTAACAGACAGTACTGCTTGTGGTCTGAGAGTGACAATCCAGTCTACACTTGATCTATCCAAATACTTGAATTCTTGTTGGAATTTCAAATATTTATTAACTGGAAAGATAAACCAGGATAAATTAGAAGTATGAACAGAAAAAATAATTGTATGAAAATTATAAACAATCAAATTATTAATTTTACCTAGATGTTTTTTGGAATAATTCGCCAAGCTGCGGGATCCAACGATCACCCATCAGCGCCAACATTTCTACAACTGTACAAGTTATTATCAACTTACAGTATACTGAAACCACCCAAAAGTGGAAATTGCACCATAAATGATGATTCTCCATTAACTCCATTAATTTCCATATCAGATTTGAAGAATATTTATCATCCTGAAAAGTCAAACTTATTAGAAAATTTGAAAAATAAATTAAATTTAATAATAGAACAAGAAGAATGGGAGTTCACCGATGTAGTCGAACACGATTATGCAAAAGCTGAGGTTGTAGACTGTTTAATATACTATTTGACTGGTATGTATAAGTATTGGTACAAATGTATAATTGTTTATGTTTGTTAGTTGTTTGTATTGGCCACTCCCTAAAAGAGCACAACATAAGTACCTATGTACATTTTTCATTTTATAGGATATTTATCAAAGCAATTGCTGAAATATACCAAAGACTGTGATGTCTGTAAATCTTCTTTTGTTGTATCAGAAATATATTCTCAGCAGTTGCCTGCTACGTTGGTGAACATGAAAACAAGAGGTGGATTAATACACCCTAACATATGCTTCTTTAATTTTATAAAAAAAGTCGAAGAAAGTTTTAGCAAACACTGTACATCGGCAAACGTTTTGGACCATATTACAGATGATTTAATGAAAGTTACACCAGTCAGTTTTCCATGTGCAATACACGGTGAACAGATAATAGCATTTACCATTATGTATTATGTTAGAATGCGCATGAGACAATTTGCCTTCCAAGAAAACAAAAAACAGAATAAGGCAAACAGAAATAAAAAAAAAATTGCAAAGTTTTGTAAAACATAACAATAATGTATTTATAAAACTGATTAAAAAAGTAAAAAACATTATACCAAAGAGTAATTTTAATCGTTTTCTTTAATCTTTAGTAAAGATATAAAGGACCTTGAAGGTCTATACTCTATACCTCATTTTCTCGATAACTTTTTGAAACTGCCGCCTGCCGGAGTTTTTCAGATTCCTATTCCTGAGATTTTTACTTAACCTTAAATACGTATAACTGGCAGCGCTCAATTTTACAGCGGCAACATTTTAAATATATTTGCACAATTAAGCGGAACACTGTTAAGGTAGAGTAGTCGGACCTTATCTTCTAAGACCGTGCCTATATCATTGTTCAGTGTTCACAGCAAGTCTGAGGCCCGATACTATTCGATACAGCATAGCCCATAGGTACATAATATACTTATATACGTGTTTTCTTGAACGATTGTTTTATACCGATATGTAATATACTAATATGTATCATGTATGTATCGTTACACTCAAATTTGTTTCTTGAATATCAATTATCATGTTTATAAAATCAGGGCCGGTGGCAATGGGGGTATGGTGAGTGGTCACAGTGTCACAACTATAGAGGTAAACTAAGGGTAACTATAGAGGATGACACTATTAATAGTTTACTATATGTCTATATTATGAAAAATTTAAAATATAAGTGGATATTTATTATTTAATCAATGACTTCACAATAATGTTAGTAGGTACTAGGTATACAAGTAAGGAGAAGTAGAACTCCTTGTTTTCCTTATCCCATTGACTTCGACTATACGCACTTGACAATATTTAAGAGTTTACTGATTTAGAAATCAAAATACTGCCGATTGCTATACATATTATATAATACCTATAATAACTTTGTTAGTACTGTCGTCCATATTCTGTATAATATGTTATCGCCTATCGCTAATCGCTATCTCAAGCACCTATCTGTGGGCTGTGGGTGGTAGGCCTACCGTCTATAGATATTGTGATTATTACAGTCAGTGGTGTCATTTCAATATTTAATAGAGGGCTGTAAAAGTTTTGACCAGCCCAAATGGGTAGCTTAAGAAACAACCACTGGCAAGCACATATTAATATATTATCATGTTCCTGATCAATTTTACTCGGCGGTGGTTTACCTAGGTTCTTTCATAAGTGTAACATGCAGATGTCGAAGTTTTATTTTAGATTTTGATTCCTATCTAAAGACTATAACCCTTATCATATTATATTGATTTAATAATACAAATTTTAAATTGTCTTAATATTTCGGGTAGAGGGGGGGGGGCTACGCCACTGCACTGATTAATAGATTAGAACACCGTATACGACCTAATTTTTTAGAGCTTAAAATAGTCCTGACAATCGTGTACCCGTATGGCTAACGGCTGTATAATATACAAGTAACAAACAGTATAACAGACCATGTGCATAGAACTGTTCAAAATGTTTATTAGTTCAATTTTTAAAAATTTTTTTTTATAATGTTTTTAATATAATATTTATCAAATTTTAATTATTAAGAGAAATTATACAGATATATTATAACCTATTATGAAAAAAAAAACAGTAATTTTTATAGGTACTTCACATAATTTGTTTTCAGAAATTACGGATCGACATTTTTACAGTCGGTATAAATTATATTTCAGTAGTCAAATACTTGATCTCACCAAGAAGCTATGAAAGCTTTTGGAAGAAGCTATGGGCTGGAAAAGAAATTTTGATCGTTAGAATGCCGTATCGATCGTGTCCTTGTTATCAAGACTTGTACCTATAATCTGTTACAATTTAAAAATGTTTGAAACATATTATTTATTAGTTCTTTGTTATTAGTACGAGTAAGTTTATATTTATAAAACGTTCCCGTTATTTGATTGCTTATTGCAGACCTATATTCTTAATTTATTATATACACCTATAGGCTATACGTATAATACGACTTATGAGTAACGTTTAAGTTGTAAAAGTCATATATCTATTTTAATAATTGTTTTTTTTAATACTTCTGTAGACTTACAATCATAATATTATCCTAAATATTATTATTTAACGTTTGGTTATTATAAGATATAATGCGTTTAGACGTTTGTCTATATTATAATGCTCGCTAAGAAAATATAAAGTTGCCGGGGTTATTAAAAGTTGACTATAGATCAATATCTTGTTTATTATCATATTTTATACCTGTACACACAATTAGCATATCAGATAATATGATTCAAATAATTATCCTCATTTTGCTTTTAAACTGTTTTTTTACTACTGTGGTGACATTTGAAGAAAATAAGTTGACCTATGAAAACAAAGGCCTCATAGCCAACGGAGAAATATATGACGTCGAGAAATATCCGTTTGTAGTGTGCTTAGTGATAAGAGTCGTCCGAAAAAACAAAAAGGGAAAAGCTGTATGCACGGGCTCGTTGATATCGCCGTTGTTTGTTTTGACCGCCGCACACTGTATCGTTGGTGTAAGAAGATATGACATAAATGTATTCTAGAGCTTACACCCGAGTTTGTATACGATTAAAATTATCGTATTTTTTATGAAAAGTTCCGTAACGTTTACACCGTTTACAGGTGTACAGCGCCGAAAGCCACCAACGTGTTCAGCGCATATACCGACATCATATGTTTAATCCCAAAAAGTTTTCGGCAGACATCGGCATGTTGAAAGTAAGCACTCTGGCAGACTGGCATTGTAATTTGTAAATGATTATGTCTTATTAGTTTATTAATATTTAATATAATATATATAATTCTCGTGTCACAGTATTAGTGGTCGCACTCCTCCGTAACGGTTTGACCGATTCTTATGACATTTGGTATGTATATTCAGTAAGTCTAAGAATATGTCGTAAAGTATTTTACCCTCCTACAATCCATCCGGGGAGGTGCTCATACGGGGATTTTGAGATTTACTGTGGACATTTTTGTTTATAAATGGTTTCTATTGGTTATAGAAGAAATAAATAAATATTAATAAATTAGTATAGGTATTTTTTATTTGGTTTCCATTGGTTAATATGGCAGATCATGTGCAAACCTAATGCATCAAATCCAATTTTCGCACATTGCCCAGCTGCTTGATATATTAATAAATATATATTGCACCCGAAAGGAGTTGAACAATCGCAATTTGTTTTTACGGGCAACGAAGTGATCTGGATCAGATAGTAATATTATAACATTAATGTAATATCATGACTTGTAGCCAGGCATATTTTCTCTGAGAAGTCGACAAGAATGTAATATATATATATATACAATTAAAAACAACCTATCTGATTTTCACCAAAATTATAACGTAAAGGGTACTTACGCATTAAGAAAATAATATTGATTTTCCACATAATAACAACAAGTATATACCTGCTATATGTATTTTTTAATGTAACTAGGTAGTTATATTAATATATATTATAATACGTATAGGTACCTACTAAAATATAATTTTTAAGCTACATGTTTAAAAATGTATTTAGCTATTAGCTTGTTTTTTTTTATATAAAGGTTTCTTTCTGAGCATATATTATAATTTATATGTTTGGTATTTGGTTTTAAATTATATAAATTTAATTAGTACATACATATGTGTGTATTAATGTAACAATATATATATGGATATATACATATATGTATATGCAGTTATAATTGGAATTTAGCTACGAAAACCGTTCAAGAATGTCGATCGTTATATAAGTTTATCTGGCCATCCTGATGAATTTTCTAATGGAAAAACCCTGAATTGTGTGGTCATTGGGTTTGGAATGACTGAAAATAAAACGATACCTATATTAAAGGGGTATATGACTAACTCCAATGTCACGTACGGCCCTACAGCATGTAAATTGTTCAATACGTGAGTACCAAATAATTTAATCATTTAGAATTTTAGAAGATCATAATGTACAACTTATAGAATCTACACTTTGAAATAGATCGAGTATAATGGATACATGGAATGAATATTTGTGTTCAAAACCAGACATTCATATGGTATGTCATGGGGACAGCGGCGGCCCAATGATTTGCAATGGGTCCTTATATGGAATAGCCAGTCACGGATACAATTTCAAAGAAGAAGATAAGGACATCGAATGTGGCAGTTCCGACATTCAGACTAGACATCTATTCTTATATACCTACAGAGAATGGATAGCTGATATTACAAATAAAGGAAACACATTAATACCACACTATAAATCATATATTACTACTATTTTAATATTAGTATTATACTATTATATGTTGTGAATGTTTAGAAAATAAAAAAATATATATAACAATATAATATGTATATGTAATGTTATAAGTTATAAATTATAATCAAAATCAGAGAATAGTTTATTGAGAATTGTAAATTGTAATCCATAAAGAATGATAAAAATGAAAACATTTCTCAACAAATTTTTTCTTTCCTTCTACCTATACCTTATAACTTTTATTTAGGAACAGAAATTAAGCGTGTGCGTCAATTAACAATGTTGATGTATACATTGTACCTACATTATTCACTATCTATATATTAACCATTAAAAGAAATTTTAAAAGTTGTGTTCAAATGTTGGTTTGTTGAAAAAATGTTTATGACATTTCTATTGATAGGAAAGTAGGAAACTTATAAATGACGACGTACCTCGACGTAACCTAACCTATGATATACTAGCTGATCCCGTGCACTTCGTTGCCCGTTCAATGTACCAACTCTATATGCCTCAAACTGTGTTCAATTCGTTATTTATAATATTCGGTGTATGGTGTTCAAAATGTATAATAACTTTTCCGTTGCCCGAAATAAAAATTCTGATTTGCAGCAGTATATTATCAGGTAGGCAATCTACCTGCGGTAGATCGCGGACCACTGGCTGTTTGTAAGTAAGTGTATGATTTAACTCTAGAGTATTAAAGTTATAGCAAGTTTATCGTGTTCCACCTATAATAGATTAATAAAATCTATTAATACAAAATCTTAACCTAACCTAACAGTACTAATATCAGATGAATAAAAAAAACCAAATTTAACCATTTTTAAATTAGCCTGTCTTTTTCCCAGAGGTCTATTCTACACATAAACACTCATTTATATATATATATATATTGATATAAAATAATGAAAATCAACAAATATGCCCGATTAACCAATAGCAACCAATATATACAGGGTGTCCCGTGAGGATTTACTCATTGCGATATCTCCTGAAATAATAGAGATATCGTAATTCTGTTTTCTTATTAAGACTCACAGAGGTAAGCACTACAAATAACTAATTTTTTATTTTTTTTTTATGTTTTGGTAAAAAAGTTAAAAAATTATTTTTTTAATTAATTATTTAAAAAATATTGAAGATTGCCATTTTGTAGAGTTCATTTTTCTGAAAATATTGACGTTTCAACATTTTAATTTCATTAATTTCCTGATTTTTAATAATTTTTTTAATTAATAAGTAAGACGGCAAAAAACCGGTTTTTGTCCGGGCGACGAGTCCCCCCTCTACGGCTAATAGGTACCTATATCCTCACGGGACACTCTGTATACACTGTTTTGCTCCACTGTTGTATTCTTTACATCCAGATTTCTTAATTTTCCGGTGGATTTTCTTAAAATTTTCTTTCGTAAAAACCATCTCTTGGCAATTACGAACATCTTAAAAAAAAATTGAGCCAAATCGGACCAGCCGTTCTCGATTGATGAGGTAACGACATTTTTCACTCTCCATATTTATATATATAGATAACTAATTATTGACTAACATTATCGGACTTTATTTATGCCTAAAACCTGCTCCGTGATATCCTCTTTCATTTAAAAAAAACTGAATGACAATTGGATAAGAAGTTTCGAAGCCAAACCGTAACAAAGATTTCCTCTTTTGCTTGATTTCAGTTTATTAGGAATAGATAAATAAACATCAAAATGACCACTATTAATATTTCCAGTTAGACGCAATCTTTTTACTGGGAATGTATCTACACCAAATTTGGCATAAAGATTATTATTATAATAAATTTGAAATAAATATGGGAAAATATTTCCAGCTGCAACCAATTCGCAATAACTACCGTAGGCAGTAGGATTGACCATTTCACGAACATAAGCCTCAGCAGTGGAAAAGTTTTCACCATTTGAATTGTAAGACATAGTAATAAAGTTATTCCAATTATCAGACACATAAGAAACAATTGTATTTCGGATCTCCTGACATCTTTCTTGAGTGTTAAACAAATGAAATGATATTGAACGGAAAAGGCAGGCACCATCACCGATAATTGGTACAACTATTTGAGGTGTCAACATTCCATTGACAAAAAAATAAATTTCCTTAATACCTATTTTAAATAATTATCCAATGTGTTCCGGGTAATATAAACAAATATACTGTATTATCAAGTACATCGAGCTGATGTATTAATTGCCACAGAGATGTCTAAATTGTTATTATTATATCAATATAAATTATTTTTATTTTTATTATTTCACTCATTTTAATACCAATATTGTATATTTAAATTAAATATTGCTTGATAGATGGCGCCGCTGTCGTATTCTTCCAACCCCACTTTTACCCCCTTGTAGGTCGAATTTTGGAAAATCCTTTCTTAGTGCGCCCCTTCATTGCTTAAGGAACCTCTATATAAAATTTCAAGTCTCTAGACCGAGCGGTTTGGTCTGGGCGTTGATGAGTGAATAGGGGCCGTCTCCTATATGTATATAGATAATTATGAAATATACATTTATGCACTTATATAAATGCTAAAATGTGTAATCGTACAAGCTATAAAATCCTAAGAGAGTCATGGTTCAAAATAATGCATATATTTTCCAAATAACGCAAAAAACATGAATAATCGCTATACTAAGTGGGTTAGTAGCAACCCTAGCCTACGCACTACGCAGCGTAGAATGTGGCCGTTTAATTTCGCGACTCATTTCGGGACGTTATCAGAAGTGGAGTTTGGTCTCCTTATTCTAGTCTTTGTGTATACTAGAAATATATATTTATAGAAAATGTTCAAATTATGACTGAATAATATTTAGACACGGGCTGAATAATAAATATAATATTTTAAAAAAGAAAACCGCCAAATAGGATTTGAAATTATGGGACCAGGTGCGACGTCATTAGTGATGATCAAAACAAGACCAAGACTTTCAAAATCTTGGTCTTGGTCTTGCGCCAGACTCTTGCTATTTTCACAAAATATATTTAAAAAAAACCAAATATCTGTTATAGCTGTGTGTAGGTTTTTGGTATGATCTCTAAGATGAAACTTATCGTTTTTGGGAAAATTAAATAATTTTTCAGTTATTGTTAATTAGTATGAAACAGTTAAATGTTATTTTGTAATATTAATTCCCATTATATTTTTAATCTTTTTTTCAATAATTCGCCATTTCCTCGAATACTGATAAAATTTCATAACAATTCAAATAAATTCTTCTTATTTTCTTTATAAATTATTAGTTAATGGAATCCTAGATACACTAATGTGTTTTCGAGGGAAAAAAAAATTTGCAAGACTGCAAGAGTCTCGCATTGATGGTCTTGTTTTGGTTTTGGTTTTGCATCTTCGGTATTGGTTTGGTCTTGGTCTTGCAAGCCTAATCTTGGTCTTGGTCTTGCTAGACCAGTACCATCTTGGTGTTGGTCTTGCAGCAAGAGACTTGCGAGACCGCAAGACCAAGACCAATTTTAATCATCACTAGACGTCATTATAAAGCAATACGCATAAGCCACGGACTAAGATAGAGCATTATGACCAAAATTCACGGCAATCGTTATGCACACAAGTTCGACTTTCACGGACTGATGACCACGTGCTACCAGAGCCAGCCACGCAGTCCGGCCCCACAGTAGCACCTGGCCCATTATGGGTAACCGTGCTGTCAGCTTCCGACTTTGCCGGTGGCCTGTACGGCCAACAGCACGATTTCGCTTCAGGCCTGCCGACCACCATATTTTAAGGCCTTTCTACGCTGTACCAACATCCGGTCGGGTCGTGGTATCCGCCGTAATCCAAATTTTCATAATATATACTAGGGATGGATTGTCGAACTATTGTCAAACCCTCAAACATCCCGAACTTCGATAATTTCGTACAGTTCGAAGTTCATTAGAAATCAATACTCGAAACATTTTAAACAGTTCCAAAAGAAGCAAGTACAATATTGATTCTATTATAAATATAGTTTATGTATATATATATATATATATATTTTACAAAATATATATATATGTATATATACAGTGTGTTCACGGAAACAGGGAACACTTAATAACTCATTACCCTGTATATATTTTTCAATTCTGCTTGTGGGGCATTCAACTAGACTAATAGGTCATACATTCCTATAACTAATAATTTTTTTAACTCATATAGTTTGCGCATGCGCAGTACATTATCCTTTTTTTTAAATTGTAACACCTGTTTTGAACACTATATTTGGATAGGCCTATTTTTTATAAGTAATTTTGATGAATCAAGTATGGTTCTAAATTCAAAATTGACTAAGAAAATTGAATAAGAGCCATGTAAATTTTAATAAATAATACATTTTTTATTATTTTTAAAAATTTGTAAAATCATTTGTAATTAATTCTTATTGGTTACTTTTTCAATATTTGTACGTATTTTTTTTAAGTGTTATAAAGAAGACTAACATAATATGAGTACAAAATTATTTATTATAAGCTGATACGGTACAAGTGAACAACAGTTTTTTATAATTACACAATTAATTAAATAAATTGTTCAAAGTTTGCTCCGTGATTTTCGACGCATAATTGAAAGCGTTGTAGACATCCTCTATTGGTTGCTGACATTATTTGATTTTCGGTAAGGTTATTACAGGCAACCACGATTTTATTTTTTAAATCGGCTAAATTTACTGGTGGATCTGCGTAGACTATTGTTTTCAAATGGCCCCATAAAAAAAAATCAAGTGGAGTAATATCTGGAGATCTTGCTGGCCATTCAATGGGACCATAAGTGCCGAACCACTTTCCCTCATATACTCGATTTAAATGATCTCGAACAATATGAGCATTATGAGCAGGAGCTCCGTCATGTTGAAAATAAAGGGTTTGACGTGTAGCTAATGGTAAATTTTCTAACATCAATGGTAAAACATTTGTTAAAAATACTAAATATCGTCTTGCATTTAAGTTTTTACATTTAAGTTGCATACATTTTTGCTGACTGACGAGAGTTTCTATTGCATCTACCATAAATTAAAAGCATTTGTACTTTTTCTTGGTTGTTCATTTTAACTTAACTACTCGCACTATGACAATCAAAACAAAAATGATTCACAATATCTACATTTTAGAGTATAAAATTAATAATCAAAACGGTTTATCTACTTATAAATAATTACGAATTGATAGGTAGGTATAAATAATTTATCACTTATCGATATTATACATCTAATAATAGTGCATATTCATGTGCAATAAATGCATATTATTATTGTTATGACTTATGATTATCTAGTATTAAATTACCTGAAAAACTATGCTAATTAACATTATCTTATTATTTCAAACCTCGATAACTTTATATTTTATAAAATAACTGTTGTCTGCTTGTACCTAATCGATTTATAATAAATAATTTTGTACTCATATTATGTTAGTCTTCTTTATAACACTTAAAAAAAATACGTACAAATATTGAAAAAGTAACCAATAAGAATTAATTACAAATGATTTTACAAATTTTTAAAAATAATAAAAAATGTATTATTTATTAAAATTTACATGGCTCTTATTCAGTCAATTTTGAATTTAGAACCATACTTGATTCATCAAAATTACTTATAAAAAATAGGCCTATCCAAATATAGTGTTCAAAACAGGTGTTACCATTTAAAAAAAAGGATAATGTACTGCGCATGCGCAAACTATATGAGTTAAAAAAATTATTAGTTATAGGAATGTATGACCTATTAGTCTAGTTGAATGCCCCACAAGCAGAATTGAAAAATATTTACAGGGTAATGAGTTATTAAGTGTTCCCTGTTTCCGTGAACACACTGTATATATATATATTTTACAAAATATAAATAGCCGTACCCTATACTCTATAAAGAATAGGGTATTTTATAATATTGTTTTTATTTCACGTATTTCCCGTATTTCCAGTTATTTCCCTTTTCAGTTGTCACGATTTCATAATCGTGTCGCTATTTGAGTTCGAGGGTTCAATATGTTCGAAAAGTTTGACGAGTTTGATTTCGAACAATTCTAGAAGAACTCTTGAAAATTGAAGTTCGATCCATTCCTGCAATATACGAAAATATCTGTATAACCAAGCGCTGCCGTGTTTTCAAAAATTCCTAGATAAAATATTATATCGAGCAAACTGTGTCGTTGAAATAATTTAATAATAAGTAATTATTGTTCTGGACACTGATTCTGATAATATATATTGTTTGACATTGTGTTTTGTAGGAAGTATCGAAATGACGTGTTGTTTTCAACGAAAACGTGAACAAAATGTATTTATTATTATTGAATATTGATATTTCAACTTGTTGTTTTCCATGTATGAAAACGACCCTTAATTTTAGGGTACCTAAGTAGTAATAATATAGTCGGAATCACCTCTAAGAGTTTCACACTGGTGGCGCACACCGGAGGGTTCAAGGCTACTACCACTGATTTTTTTTGGTGTTGAGTGGGTGGACCCCCTGGCCCCAAAATATTTACATCATAAACATTCTACTACGTATACAAATATTAAAAATAAACTATTAAATAATTATAGGCTATACCTAGCAATTAGCCTATTGGCAAATATAGAGGTAACTGATTCAATATGCTATACCATATTTATTTTTGAGTGTTCGCCACTGCACCTTTTGCAAATATGCAGTAGTACGCCTCACTCCACTCCCGTAATAATAATTCATTAGATAGTCAACCGAATGCTAGAGTAACTCAATATACATAAATATACATGAACGTGATCTCTTTTAATGTCAAAAATATTGTCAAAGTGCATACTAGAGTGGACGTTATGCATTGGATCTTCTTGTGTAAAAGACAGCCCAAAAGTCGATTCTGTATGATCCTTGTATAGAGTGATTTTTTTGTAATGTTCTTTTGATATGCATCGATTAATACGTAATGTTAAAGTATTGATGTGTTTATGATTTTATTTATTTAAGTCTGACCGGAGAGGTGTTGAATATTATATTTTATGTATTACATGTGTCGCGTGTGTGTAAAAGGAGTGCGTATATTTATAATAAATATGCATAATGCGTATGTATATGTAGATAATAGGTATATTGAATCACCTCATATTCTATATGGTTCATGTTTATTACTGTTATTAGTTATCCTATTTTTTTTATCCAAGTATGAAATATTATATATTACAGTTTATTAAATGATTGGAATAGTAATGTAGTGCCGTAGTGGTAATAGTATACAGTACTCTATCCCTGAGCAACCTTGTTCTTAAGGGTGGTATATTGAAGATCACAGGTGTAGTGGAGTATATTATGAAACAAATTTAATTAAATTAGTGCATCAGGCGACGGCAACGACGAGAGCTGGGCCATCGAGTACCTATTCGCGAAGTGTCGTAACTAACGACCCTTGGTCATTTAAGCTTAAATTATTTTGTTTTGATTGTAAGATCAATTTTACCATATTTCAGTTTGTTTTAGTCAAGTGTTACTTGTTTTTCTTCACTCCTTGTTTAGATTACCTAAATTTAAGTGTGCGTTTAGAGACATTTGTGGCGAGAAGACACTTTTAAGGTATTAGCAAGCACAGGGGGTGCCGGTGGTGAAGGGTCCGGGCACCTCCGGACTCTTCACCAAAAACAACAAGAGCCCTAATTATTAATTAAGTGTAAATTAAATTATTAAAATTATTGACGAATTCAAAAATGTTGTTCCTTTTAAAGTCGATTATCATTATAAGATTGTATATCTATATACCTATATTGTTATGTACTATTTATTAGAATGAATAATAAAACAAAATAATACATAATATTTTTAGTGCATTTGATATTTTTAAAACATTTGTCTATATCTATAATTATTGTTTTCAAAATTATTGTGGGCCCTAATTTTTAGTGTGCACCCCCGGAACATAAGGCTGCGCAAGCCTATATTAGCAAGACACTGTTATACTTACTTTCTTAATTCTTTTCCAGTACTCCGAGTACTCGTTATCATTTTCAGTTGAGAAAGAATACAACTTTGTCTAGGTTAAAGAGATCTTAGCCTCGAACATCCAGTACTCATTATCGTGATCAGTAGTAAAGTGACCTAGCTTAGAGTTGTAGAGTGTAAATCATGTTGAACCTATATTGTCCAAGCTATTTGTTTAACTATCCTTTTATGCAGTGCTCGTTATCGTGGTCACCAAAAGGAGAATTCAATAAGATTTTACAGCAGTTGTCGATATTTACTCGTTTGATGGTTTCGGGAACGGGAAACCAAAACATACCTATCTATTATATACGCCGAAATACAAAATAAAAAAATTACTGAAAATGGGGATATTTTAACCTAATAAACATAATTTAAGGACGTATTGTTATAAATGTAATTCATACGTTTTACTACCTACAATTCAAAGAAATCCAATATTTTAATTATTTATGATATGAATATTTTAATACTATCGACTTTCCGTGTGGCGATGAATAATATAATGGTATTTATAGTATAATACCTACTATAATAATATAATATTAATATTATATAATATAGTTAACATAATATTTACCATAGGTTCAATAAGTAATAAGTATAAACATGACAATGGTTCGGAATTGTAAGCATGACCATATTGTTATTATTTATTAGATAGATTAAAATATAGCTAGGTATAATATACATTGTCCCCCTTTTTTTATATTTTTCAATTTGGATTGGATATGATAGTTTTATTGTTAATAATATAATAATAATAATAATAATTTTTATAAAA